TCACACCTTACAAAGAAGACTCACAACTTACAAAAAACTCACACCTTACAAAAAGGATTCACACCTTACAAAAAAAAATACTCACACCTTACAAAAACTTACACCTTACAAAAAAGACTCACACCTTACAAAAAAATTCACACCTTACAAAAAAGACTCACACCTTACAAAAAAGACTCACACCTTACAAAAAACCCTCACACCTTACAAAAAAAAACTCACACTTTACAAAAAAGACTCACACCATACAAAAAAACCTCACACCTTACAAAAAAGATTCACACCTTACAAAAAAACCCTCACACCTTACAAAAAAGACTCACACCTTACAAAAACGACTCACACCTTACAAAAAAGACTCACACCTTAAAAAACAAACTCACACCTTACAGATAAGTCCCACGAGCATTAGATAATAAATGCAAAACTCCACCATTTGCGTAATAAGCGTAAATTGATGCACTTGAGCATGACACGACGTTTTGCCCATTAGTACGATGACAAACATGATGCACATCATGCTTATATTGTGACAACGTTTCGCTCGCTGTAGAGCTTTGCCAGCTCCGTATTAAAAGCTCTACATACAGCGAAATGTAGTTCCAATTAAAGCGTATTGCGTAACTTGAGTCTTCGTTATATTTGACGCAATTAACGTCACGGGGCGAATATTACGGAAGGATGTAGTCAAAAATATTAATTTGTTTTAATAAAAGCCTTTTAAATACCCCTAATTAGCATCATTATTAAAATCAAAACAGCCATCATTATTATTTAAATATTTCTTAAATACCATTAATTCCTAGGAATTAGTCACGCAAACCAGTATTTTGTTTTCCCACATCGATGTTTCGAATTCCGAAAATAAATTCCTTATATATATAATTTTAACACTGATGATGGATGCTCAAAATAGCGAAACTGAGCGAACAAATGAAAAATACAATGAAATGGGCGTTAATATCAGACTCTTTTTGCGTCGTCAGAAGTGTGTTGGAGCAAATACAAATCTGAGTTAAGGACGTAATTTAAATTGGATGTATATAGTAGCAGTGTTGATGGGATGAACGCGGGTAACGTCACCCAAGGAAGGTATATACACCGCTGTGTGTGTGTATATATATACACTGAGAGCTCTGTATCTCTGCGTACATGCAGTTTAAAGTATATATTGTGAATATAATCCGAAAAGTGTGTATATCTGTGTACATATACAGTGCGAATCTATGTATGTATGCATGTATTTATGTATATATATATATATATATATATATATATATATTTATATATATATATATATATATATATATATATATATATATATATATATATATATATACATTATACTGTTCCAGCCACGGTACTGAGACTTAAGACACATCTTACAACATTCATTTTTTTCTCCGAGGTCGGTGGGTAATCCAGGTGAAGACCGTGGTCTTAAGACCTCGGTCGTAAGACCACGACGCTGTACTGAGTGCGACGCCAGACTCCTGCCTGGTAAATATCTTTCCACTTTCTTCTATCGCATCAAAAAGCAAATCTGGACAAGCAACGGTGTTTTATTTTACGATTTTACGAGCGAATGTAAATTTTGGGCATGATTTCAATTTTTTTTTTTGGGGGGGGGGAAGGGATGGCGGGGTCAGTTTTTGGGATTATCAAACACTATTGGAATATGAGCTTCAAGGGAGAAGGGTGTAAGCGCTCTTGATCCAGGGAGGCGGCGCTTTCCTTATCTTACTTGAATCGAACCTTAATTATACAGGCGCTGTATGACCAGTACGGATTTAGCGCTTCCCATTATAAATATTAATAATCATAATAGAGGTAAAAATAATTAAATAAAAATATAATAATAATAATAATAATAATAATAATAATAATAATAATAATAATAATAATATTAAATAATAATAATAATAATAATAATAATAATATAATAATAATAATAATAATAATAATAATAATAATAATAATATTAAAATAATAATAATAATAATAATAATAATAATTAATAATAATAATAATAATAATGAAGAAAGGTGGAAAACGAGATGAACTATAGAATTTGACAAGGGAAAAAGGTGGGTAACGCACTGGGGCATCTGTGGAGAGAAAGATCTTGATCCATGGAGGTTAATAAGAGTAATGTACCAGAGTACAGTGGTACCAACATTCATATGGGTGTGAAGCATGGTCTGTAAACGTTGAAGCGAAGAGGAGGAGGAGGCTGGAGGCAGTGGAGATGTCATGTTTGAGGGCAATGTGTTGTGTAAATATTGCGCAGTGAATTCGTAGCTTGGCAATTAGGAGATGCGGAGCCACCAGAAGTATTATCCAGAGGGCTGAGGAGGGGTGTTGATATGTGATTTGGACATTTAGAGAGGATGGAGCAAAACAGGATGACTTGGAGGGTGTATAAATCTGCAGTGGAGAAAATGAGAAGTAAGAGGTCACCGTTGGAAAGGTCCGAGAGAGTGAGAGAAGGAGGCTTTGTGTGCGAGGGGCTTTAGCATCCATCAGGCTTCCGTGATTATGACAGGAGTGGAGGCAAGTGGTTTTTATGATTTGACGTCCTAAGGAAGTGTGAGCAAGGCAACATTTATGAAGGGATTCAGGGAAACTGGTTAGCCAGACTTGAGACCTGGAGGTGGGAAGTACAGTGTCTGCGCTCTGAGGGAGACGCGGCGGATGTTGTAGTTTGGAAGGTTATCTGTACTGTAATGTAGATACGCTTTTGGCAAGACAGTGATTGAATGAATATCAGTCAAAGTGTTTCTTCTTTTTCTCTGGTCATCCTACCTTGACATATAACGACAGGAGCCTTAAAAATGATGATGATGATGATAATAATAATAATAATAATAATAATAATAATAATAATAATAATAATAATAACAACAATAATAATAATAATAATAATAATAATAATAATAATAATAATAATAATAATAATAATAATAATAATAATAACAATAATAATAATAATAATAATAATAATAATAATAATAATAATAATAATAATAAATAACAGTAGCAATAATAATGAAAACACAAATTAAATACAAATATAATAATAATAGCAGACAGATGGTATATACGAACTTAAGATAAGCCAGGTGGTACATACGCACATCAGAGCAGATAGATGGTACATACGCACATCAGAGCAGGTGGTACATACGCACATCAGAGCAGACAGGTGGTACATACGCACATCAGAGCAGACAGTTGGTACATGCGCATATCAGAGCAGACAGTTGGCATGCGCACATCAGAGCAGACAGGTGGTACATACGAACATCAGAGCAGACAGGTGGTACATACGAACATCAGAGCAGACAGGTGGTACATACGCGCGTCAGAGCAGACAGGTGGTACATACGGACATCAGAGCAGACAGGTGGTACATACGCACATCAGAGCAGACAGGTGATACATACGCACGTCAGAGCAGACAGGTGGTACATACGCACGTCAGAGCAGACAGGTGGTAAATACGGACATCAGAGCAGACAGGTTGTACATATTCACATCAGAGCAGACAGATGGTAAATACGCACATCATAGCAGACAGTTGGTACATACGCTCATCAGAGCACACAGGTGGTACATACTCACATCAGAGCAGACAGATGGTGCATACGCACATCAGAGCAGACAGTTGGTACATACGCACATCAGAGCAGACAGATGGTACATACGCACATCAGAACAGACAGTTGGTACATACGCACATCAGAGCAGACAGGTTGTACATACGCACATCAGAGCAGACAGGTTGTACATACGCACATCAGAGCAGACAGATGGTACATACGCACATCAGAACAGACAGGTGGTACATACGCACATCAGAACAGACAGGTGTTACATACGCACATCAGAACAGACAGGTGGTACATACGCACATCAGAGCAGACAGGTGGTACATACGCACATCAGAACAGACAGGTGTTACATACGCACATCAGAACAGACAGGTGTTACATACGCACATCAGAGCAGACAGGTGTTACATACGCACATCAGAGCAGACAGGTGTTACATACGCACATCAGAGCAGACAGGTGTTACATACGCACATCAGAGCAGACAGGTGTTACATACGCACATCAGAGCAGACAGGTGTTACATACGCACATCAGAGCAGACAGGTGGTACATACGCACATCAGAACAGACAGGTGTTACATACGCACATCAGAGCAGACAGGTGTTACATACGCACATCAGAGCAGACAGTTATTAGTTCACAACTTTACATAAATTATCTTCCAGTCTGGAAATGTTCACTTGTGCAAAGTTCACTCTGGTTCCTCATTACACGTTCAATACTCAGTTACAATTGAAATACAATGAACTTTTGCGCTTGTCTGTTGAACATGCTAATTATCCGTGTTGGGGCGAAACATCTACCTAAGTTGGTCTCCTAAGTCCGGGTTGTGTTACAATGATCCTATTCATAGTACATAGTACATCAATATTTCTCGGTGACATCGCAAGTGATGTAGCTGGTCTCTCCGTGACTTCTACAGTGACATCATCATCACTGATATTAACCTGACGCACATAATTACGTCTCACTACTGAAAAATTCACTATTATTTTTATTATTATTATTATTATTATTATTATTATTATTATTATTATTATCGTCATCATAATCATCATCATGGGGAGCGCTAAACCCGTAGGGATTATGCAGCTCCTGTGGGGTGTGGTGGAGGGGGGTGCAAGGCTTAAATCAGGGAATTAGAACGCAGATCCAATTCCCTTAATCAAGAGCCCCCCTCACCAGCATCAAAGAATCTCCCTTGACGGGTGTCAACATCAGAGATGTCAGCATCACTCATCTCACTGCTTCCCAGTTACATCCCAGTCGCAACTTTCCCCACCATTAATTTCCAGTAACAATCCTCGCCACTGACAGTCATAATAACTTTAACATCCTCCTCACTGATCCTAATTAACATTTACTGTTAATGTTTAACTTACCTCGTTAGGTTGGTCTTACACATGTTACTGGGCTGTCAGCCCAAGCTCAGCACTCCGTACGGTACCAGAGATTTGCAATTCGGTTCACTAGAGGCTCTGCGCAGGAATTTCCTTTCCCTACGAGAGTGCATCTACGAGAATGCTCGAAGCAGGTTTGTCGCGGGTCCGAGAGACAGGACAGACCCACACATACACTGGGACCTGCTGGGTCTGTGTTCACCGCTTCACACACACCCCAACACTGGCTGTGATGGGGACCGCTCTCTCTCTCTCTCTCTCTCTCTCTCTCTCTCTCTCTCTCTCTCTACTCCACCTCCCACACCTTCCTCCATCACCTCCCTCAATACCCAACACCTATCCCAACACCATCCATCGTCACTAACACAAACAAAGCGCTACATCAAGCCACACTTGAACCATGTAACTAACATAGGCGACACATCTCTGCTGCCTTGTCTGTGCTTCCTGTACTCAGTCACGGACAGTACGGCTGTACCACACTGTGCTTCCTGGACTTAGTCACGGACAGTACGGCTGTACCACACTGTGCTTCCTGTACTTAGTCACGGACAGTACGGCTGTACCACACTGTGCTTCCTGTACTTAGTCACGGACAGTACGGCAGTACCACACTGTGCTTCCTGTACTTAGTCACGGACAGTACGGCTGTACCACACTGTGCTTCCTGTACTCAGTCACGGACAGTACGGCTGTACCACACTGTGCTTCCTGTACTTAGTCACGGACAGTACGGCTGTACCACACTGTGCTTCTGTACTTAGTCACGGACAGTACGGCTGTACCACACTGTGCTTCCTGTACTTAGTCACGGACAGTACGGCTGTACCACACTGTGCTTCCTGTACTTAGTCACGGACAGTACGGCAGTACCACACTGTGCTTCCTGTACTTAGTCACGGACAGTACGGCTGTACCACACTGTGCTTCCTGTACTTAGTCACGGACAGTACGGCTGTACCACACTGCTTCCTGTACTTAGTCACGGACAGTACGGCTGTACCACACTGCTTCCTGTACTTAGTCACGGACAGTACGGCTGTACCACACTGTGCTTCCTGTACTTAGTCACGGACAGTACGGCTGTACCACACTGTGCTTCCTGTACTTAGTCACGGACAGTACGGCTGTACCACACTGTGCTTCCTGTACTTAGTCACGGACAGTACGGCTGTACCACACTGTGCTTCCTGTACTTAGTCACGGACAGTACGGCAGTACCACACTGTGCTTCCTGTACTTAGTCACGGACAGTACGGCTGTACCACACTGTGCTTCCTGTACTCAGTCACGGACAGTAGGGCTGTACCACACTGTGCTTCCTGTACTTAGTCACGGACAGTACGGCTGTACCACACTGTGCTTCCTGTACTTAGTCACGGACAGTACGGCTGTACCACACTGTGCTTCCTGTACTTAGTCACGGACAGTACGGCTGTACCACACTGTGCTTCCTGTACTTAGTCACGGACAGTACGGCAGTACCACACTGTGCTTCCTGTACTTAGTCACGGACAGTACGGCTGTACCACACTGTGCTTCCTGTACTTAGTCACGGACAGTACGGCTGTACCACACTGCTTCCTGTACTTAGTCACGGACAGTACGGCTGTACCACACTGCTTCCTGTACTTAGTCACGGACAGTACGGCTGTACCACACTGTGCTTCCTGTACTTAGTCACGGACAGTACGGCTGTACCACACTGTGCTTCCTGTACTTAGTCACGGACAGTACGGCTGTACCACACTGTGCTTCCTGTACTTAGTCACGGACAGTACGGCTGTACCACACTGTGCTTCCTGTACTTAGTCACGGACAGTACGGCTGTACCACACTGTGCTTCATGTACTTAGTCACGGACAGTACGGATGTACCACACTGTGCTTCCTGTACTTAGTCACGGACAGTACGGCTGTACCACACTGTGCTTCCTGTACTTAGCCACGGACAGTACGGCTGTACCACACTGTGCTCCTGTACTTAGTCACGGACAGTACGGCTGTACCACACTGTGCTTCCTGTACTTAGTCACGGACAGTACGGCTGTACCACACTGCTTCCTGTACTTAGTCACGGACAGTACGGCTGTACCACACTGTGCTTCCTGTACTTAGTCACGGACAGTACGGCTGTACCACACTGCTTCCTGTACTTAGTCACGGACAGTACGGCTGTACCACACTGCTTCCTGTACTTAGTCACGGACAGTACGGCTGTACCACACTGTGCTTCCTGTACTTAGTCACGGACAGTACGGCTGTACCACACTGCTTCCTGTACTTAGTCACGGACAGTACGGCTTGTACCACACTGCTTCCTGTACTTATCACGGACAGTACGGCTGTACCACACTGTGCTTCCTGTACTTAGTCACGGACAGTACGGCTGTACCACACTGCTTCCTGTACTTAGTCACGGACAGTACGGCTGTACCACACTGCTTCCTGTACTTAGTCACGGACAGTACGGCTGTACCACACTGCTTCCTGTACTTAGTCACGGACAGTACGGCTGTACCACACTGCTTCCTGTACTTAGTCACGGACAGTACGGCTGTACCACACTGTGCTTCCTGTACTTAGTCACGGACAGTACGGCTGTACCACACTGCTTCCTGTACTTAGTCACGGACAGTACGGCTGTACCACACTGTGCTTCCTGTACTTAGTCACGGACAGTACGGCTGTACCACACTGTGCTTCCTGTACTTAGTCACGGACAGTACGGCTGTACCACACTGTGCTTCCTGTACTTAGTCACGGACAGTACGGCTGTACCACACTGTGCTTCATAGATTTTTTATGTTTTAAAAGAAAATCTTCAATAACAAATCGATAATATATTTTTAAACCACACTGCACTCCTCCACACTCCCACACCACTCCTCCACACTCCCACACCACTCCTCCACACTCCCACACCACTCCTCCACACTCCCACACCACTCCTCCACACTCCCACACCACTCCTCCACACTCCCACACCACTCCTCCACACTCCCACACCACTCCTCCACACTCCCACACCACTCCTCCACACTCCCACACCACTCCTCCACACTCCCACACCACTCCTCCACACTCCCACACCACTCCTCCACACTCCCACACCACTCCTCCACACTCCCACACCACTCCCCACACTCCCACACCACTCCCTCCACACTCCCACACCACTCCTCCACACTCCCACACCACTCCTCCACACTCCCACACCACTCCTCCACACCCACACCACTCCTCCACACTCCCACACCACTCCTCCACACTCCCAACACCACTCCTCACACTCCCACACCACTCCTCCACACTCCCACACCACTCCTCCACACTCCCACACCACTCCTCCACACTCCCACACCACTCCTCCACACTCCCACACCACTCCTCCACACTCCCACACCACTCCTCCACACTCCCACACCACTCCTCCACACTCCACACACTCCCACACTCCCACCCTCCCACACTCCCACACACCCTCCCACCCCCACCTCCCCCTCCCACACACTCCTCCACACTCCCACACCACTCCTCCACACTCCCACACCACTCCTCCACACTCCCACACACTCTCCACACTCCCACACCACTCCTCCACACTCCCACACCACTCCTCCACACTCCCACACCACTCCTCCACACTCCCACACACTCCTCCACACTCCCACACCACTCCTCCACACTCCCACACCACTCCTCCACACTCCCACACCACTCCTCCACACTCCCACAGCACTCCTCCACACTCCCAACCACTCCTCCACACTCCCACACCACTCCTCCACACTCCACACATCACTCCCACACTCCCACACCACTCCCTCCACACTCCACACCACTCCTCCACACTCCCACACACTCCTCCACACCCCACAGCACTCCTCCACACTCCCACACCACTCCTCCACACTCCCACACCACTCCTCCACACTCCCACACCACTCCTCCACACTCCCACACCACTCCTCCCACACTCCCACACCACTCCTCCACACTCCACACCACTCCTCCACACTCCCACACCACTCCTCCACACTCCCACACCACTCCTCCACACTCCCACACCACTCCTCCACACTCACCACACCACTCCTCCACACTCCACACCACTCCTCCACACTCCACACCACTCTCCACACTCCCACACCACTCCTCCACACTCCACCCCACTCCTCCAATATCACCCACTCCTCCAACTCCTCACACCACTCCCACATCCACCACTCCTCCACATCCCACACCACTCCTCCACACTTCCCACACCACTCCTCCACACTCCCACTCACTCCTCCACACTCCCACACCACTCCTCCACACTCCCACACACTCCTCCACACTCCCACACCACTCCTCCACACTCCCACACCACTCCTCCACACTCCACACCACTCCTCCACACTCCCACACCACTCCTCCACACTCCCACACCACCCTCCACACTCCCACACCACTCCTCCACACTCCCACACACTCCTCCACACTCCCACACCACTCCTCCACACTCCCACACCACTCCTCCACACTCCCACACCACTCCTCCACACTCCCACACCACTCCTCCACACTCCCACACCACTCCCCACACTCCCACAGCACTCCTCCACACTCCCACACCACTCCTCCACACTCCACACCACTCCTCCACACTCCCACACACTCCTCCACCTCCCACACCACTCCTCCACACTCCCACACCACTCCTCCACACTCCCACAGCACTCCTCCACACTCCCACACCACTCCTCCACACTCCCACACCACTCCTCCACACTCCCCACAGCACTCCACCACACTCCCACACCACTCCTCCACACATCCCACAGCACTCCTCCACACTCCCACACCACTCCTCCACACTCCCACACCACTCCTCCACACTCCCACAGCACTCTCCACACTCCCACACCACTCCTCCACACTCCCACAGCACTCCTCCACACTCCCAACCACTCCTCCACACTCCCACAGCACTCCTCCACACTCCCACAGCACTCCTCACACTCCCACAGCACTCCCCACACTCCACACCACTCCTCACACTCCCACAGCACTCCTCCAACACATCCTCACAGCACTCCTCCACACTCCCACACCACTCCACCACACTCCCACACCACTCCTCCACACTCCCACACCACTCCTCCACACTCCCACCACTCCTCCACACTCCCACAGCACTCCTCCACACTCCCACACCACTC